ACGATGACCTGGATGTCTGAGAATCTTCACAGACATCGTGTTGTGTAAAATCTTGAATAAAATTGCAACCACCAGGTGAGCTCGTCTTTTAAAGTGAGGTTTATTAAAAGAAAAAGAAAAATACTGCAGAAAGGACACCACCCTGAACTATTTTATACCTCCCCAAACACTCTCAAACAAAGAACATTCCTCATACTCAAGGTAACTGAGGCCAGAAAAGCAGCTCTAGATGGCTCCACTCTGGTCCACCTTTGCCGGCAAGCTCACCTCCACCATATCAAGGCACAATTCTTGAGCAACCACCCATGCAAGCCTCACTCATGGTGGTCAGATGTGGAGTTTTAGAAGAGAAGGCAGCTGCACTACCACATTGTTTTTATTGCATGTTTTTACCAGATTCAATAAAGTGTTTACTGCTTGGGTGCAGCAGCCTTTCTCTTTGAGCCACAGGTCCATAGTACCATGTAAGCCAAATTTGAAATTCCAACCGTCTGATAATAAATTGTGAAAAGTTATAATATGAGTGTTTTTCACTTCTCTCATGAAAACACCCAGCTGGGACAAAGATACAGTGATGTAGTAATCTTTAGAATGATGTCAGCATTTTGCACCATGTGGTTGTGAATCTACCTGTTTAGTGGCGTTAGCAGTGAGGATCTGGTGTTTCTGCATGGTGCTGTTGAGCTTGTCAATCAGCTGCTTGATCTCAGTCATTTCATTCTCTATAACATACAAGCTGAGAACTCCATACAGCTCTCCGTCATCCTCCTTCTCCAGGATCAGTACGTCTTTGTTCAGCTGGGAAAGGCGATGCTCCAACCCCAGCAGCAGACTCTCCAGCTCCACAGTCTGCAGAGGCAGCAGTGATTAAGCAGGAATGGAGACACACAGTATGAGAGCTTTAAAAGACTAGTTACCTTCTGTGGGGTGATGTTGCTGTTGCAGTCTGATACGTTGGTTTCAACTATCCTGAGTTTTTCATGAGGGAATGCCTTCTCTGAGATATTCAGCTCACATGCACATATTTCTAGTGCAGACGCCTGAAAGATAGATTAGTTGGCAAGTGAAATAAGCAGAAGATCACATTTAGTGGTATTTTACATTTGTCGCTTTATTCAAAATAGATATTTTGTCATTGAAATGCAGTCTTCAGTATTTCTTACCTGTTGGGTGAATGTGAGCAGAGCCCACAGTGGAATGATCACGTACAGCTTCATGGTGAATCAGAGAGCAGAGCTGAACAAAACCCTCTCTAGAGTGTTTGACTGTGGCACTGGGACTGCAGCAGCACCCTCTAACTTGCAAACACTCCCACTATCCTGTGGATGCGAGGAAGTGGATGTGGGTGTGTTTGCATTGTTATCCATCACTTTGTTTTCTCTATTTTCTGATTTGGATTACAGCAACACAGAGAATTTGCATCTAATCATGGGAAATGACAGTAAAAGCATCTTCAGCTATACAAAATAAATATGTCACATTTAATAAAGTACCAAATAACAACTAAAGGACTCAAACTCTGAGTCACTGTTAAACCTATGGTCTATGTGTGATGAGAGGAAGATGCAAATCAATCCAAAAGCTGTGAACACTGACTAATAGATGTATTTTATTCATTTTTGGGGTATTTTTTCATGAAATTCCATCAGGAAAAGAAAGTGATGGTCATACACTAAATGAACTATTTGAATTTTATAGTTAATTCTGGGTTTTGTTATTCATACAGTGTGTTAGCCACTACCACGTTTTGGTGCACACTAAGCTCTTTTAACTGTATCACATATAAATGTACAGTCTTGTGCAGACTTTCTTCTTGTCTCAGACACTCCCAGACACTGACACGGTTACTGTCCTAATGAGGACACGGATAAGATATATCTTTTAGTGCATCTGTTTGAACATAAAGCCAATAACACAAGAGCTCCAAGAAGAGCTGGAAACAAGCCCAAAGATATTTTTAACCACCTGCCAGCGCCATTCTCCTGTCAAAACTGGTCCATTTAGAAATTAGGCTGGAAGATCAGACTACAAGACTACAATGCTGAATGTCTATGGTTACATGTTGAAGGTCAGGCTCTGGCAGCTTTGCTGGTGTCAGCTAACACAAATAGCTTTGTGCAGATCTGAAAAAGAAACAAAGTTGTGTTAGCAATATAGCAGAGTTTTGTTTCTTTCCTGGACACAGTTTGTACTTTCCTATCATGCTCTTGTTTTCTTGTGCAATAAAGCGGTGCTATTTTATTCCTCTCAGCATACAAACTGAAATCAGCTGATGGTAGGGCAGGTGTGCAAGAAGAAAAAAACATCTTTGTTTGATTGTTTTGCATCACTCTAAGAGTAATGGAAGGTGCAGATTTTAGGAACAGAAAGTGAACAACAAAGTTTAACTGAATGAAACTTGGCTTAAAGATGACATTGCACAGTTTTTCTCATTACTTCAATATAATGTACATCTATGTAGAGAAAACAAAATGTGGAAGGTGTTTCTATTTCTATTCATAACAACGTTGAATTTGTTGATAATAAGGATCTTACTATTCACCTTACTCTAAAATCTCTTCCTTTATTTTTATTATAAAAAATATAAAAATCAGTTTACTAAAAAATTAAAACAAGCCAAGAAAATTTTTGTTCTGAAAAGTCAGGGGAATCATACGGAGCCCCGCAGGGGACATGGGAGAAAAAAACATTAAGACGGACTTTTGCGAGATCTCGCAAAAGTTTTGCGAGATCTGCATTCTTCGGAGGCTGCCAGCTCGAAGCCGACCGGGAGGTCGAGGCACGATGTGCCGGGAAAGCGGCGTTCCTCCCGGCTGTAGTAGGTCTCGACCTCCCGTTAGCTTCGAGATGGTGGGTGTCAGATCTCCGAAAACGTCGGAGCACTTTTGCAAACCGAGCAAATATCTGACGTTTACACAACTACATTCACGCCTCAAAATATCTTAAAAGTTTATTTTGTGACCCAGAAAGAGTAATATTACAACTAAGTAGCTGCCGCCATATACATATGTGGTTTTGCGAGATCCCGAGTTTGTTTTGCGCGATCTCACAAAAGTCCATTTTAATTAATTTTTCTCCCATGTCCCTTGCGGGCCTCCGTAGAACACATGAGATGTCATTAATGAAATGCTAAATAAAGAACACTCTGGAAGTATTCCATCTCAACTATCCAATGGCATTAAGAATTTCAGTATTTTGCTTGATACTTTTTTGGTAATATTGACCCTTCATTAGCTAAAAACATTGTAATATCATGTAATGCTATTTACAGAAAAGTTTAGCACAATTATTGTCACGGTTTGGAGATGAGAGGTGTGGACCCAAGCGCAGACAATTATGCAGGAGAGAGTGTCTCAAACGGAAAACAAGCCTTTATTTTGCCTGATGAAACACTACAGAAACAAAAGCAGAGGAAAACTGAAGGAAGCAAACTAAACCTAAACTGGGTGAAGTTAAGTATAACAACATGGGGAACATAGAAAACAGAACCTTACAACCGGGAATGTGGCACATGAAACACTGGTGATGACAGACAGGCATGATACACAGAATTATACGCAGACAGTCCGACGAAGAACAGAGGAAACAAGGTAAGAAGGAAATGGCACACAGGAGGGAGACACAGCTGAACGTGGGACTCTCCAAAGTAAAACAGGAAATACAAGACAGAAAACCACAATTCCCAGAATGAAACTTAAACTAAAGAAACAAAACACTGGGTTGCAGACACAGGACAATGACACCTATTCTTGTTTAGGTGTGTTTGACCGTCCAACTCCTAAAAAGATTTTGCAAATGATACTAAAATGTGAGACGTTGCTCCAGGCCACATTGACATAAGAGCTAGTCTTATTAAAAAAAAAATCATGAAATTCCTTCAGGAACAAAAAGTGACTCTTGTACTCTGAATGCAAAGAATAGCCACAAAACAGCCACAGTGTGTCCAATTGCACCATTTGAATTTTATATTTAAATCTGGCTTTTGTTGTCACATTTTGGTACACACTATGCTCTTTTAACCATATTACATGTAAATGTATAGTCCAGTGCAGACTATCTTTGTCTCAGACAGTCCCACAGACTCACACAGTTCTTGTTCTAATGAGGGCATAGATAAGATAAGATAAGATAAGACAAAAAAAAGAGCTGTAAACGAGCTGAAAGACATTTTAAACCACTTGCTACGGGAATTCTTTTGTTGAAGAAAAATTCCTGGTCCAGGTAGAAATCCCACTACAAGATCGGACTACAAGACTACAATACTGAATGTCTTTGGTTACATGTCGAAGATCAGGCTCCGACAGCGGATCGGGTCAGCCAACACAAACAGCTTTGTGCAGATGCTTGAAAAGAGTTTTGTTTCTTTCCTGGACACCGTTTGCACTTTCCCATCATGCTCTTGTTTTCTCGTGCAATAAAAAGAAAAAGTAATATCCACATCTTCACCAGAAAACAAACATGTTTATTT